CCAGAAGGAATAGGGGCTACATCAGACAGAGTCTGATGTAGAAACAAACAGAGGTAGACTACCCTAAGGTAGAGTTGGAGAGACAGGGATTGGACCTAAGTCCGGAAAGAGGGAAAGTGCTGGAAAGGTGGAGCTCCGGCCTAGGGAATCAATCCCTAGGCCTGATGGGTAAGACAGACTTAGGTGGACCAAAGTCTGAGAGAGGATTGGGCAAGTCTAAGTTGATATTCAAACTAAGGAAACTACAGGAGTATCTACAGGGGTTATATGCTGGAGAATATCTGGGGGGATCAGTAAGCAAAGGAGCAGGGCTATGTATGAGCATGTGGAAACACATTAGTAAGTAAGATGGAACATAACTAAATGAACTCAGAGATGAAGACTCATACAAGGATCAATAAGCAAGATGGAAGAAGAGGTAACCGAAAGCTGGAAAGGCAGAGATGCCTAAATTGGGATAGGTGCAGGATATCAGACAGAGGGTGGGAATAGGTCCGGAGTTAATATCCGGAGGTCCAGAGATCTGGGGATCTGGAAGATGAGGCAGATACAGGACCAGAATATGAGGAGATGGATATAGTCCAGAATTCGAGATGAGGTGAAGTCTGGATGTCTTGCTGGATGGAGTGTGCATAGGGTGGATGGGACAGGGGGGTATGGATCAGGCTAGCAGTGGAGATCCAATGGTCCGGAGCTCAGGGGTAAATCCAGAGCATAGTCGATCCTGCTGAGGTGTGGAGCACACAGCGGAAGGGGATCTGGGAATGGGTTGGATATGAAGTGGGGTCCAGACATAGGCTCGGAAGGCGTGGGAATATGATGGAACATGGGTTCAGATTGTGGGATATGACAGAGATAGGATTGGGCAAAATTGACTTTAGACCTTCCAGTATGGAAAGCATTGGGTTTGCTCTGGAAGTTGAGCTCACACTGGACAAAGAATGCATGAAGTTTCCAGGGCTTGGTGCCATCAAAGACATCCGGCTCATGGACTTTGACTTTAGGATCCTTGGGGAGGGTGGTGCGATGATTGTTTTGGGCGAGATTGTTGATAGCTCTGGATAGGAGTACCATAATGCAATCCTGTGGACCCAGGCTATCATCTCTATCATCATTGTCTTCATCATCTGGATCATCATCTGGATTTCCACCATTACCATCCAGCGGGTTTCTGTCAGGGGTATCATGATCAATGTCATCATTGTCATTGTCATCCAGATCTCTTTGGCCCAGAGGGGCTAGGGCTGGAGTCTGTGTAGGGGTCTCCGGATGTTGACGACTCAGAAGCTCTGAGATGCTTCCAGCAGTAGTGCGCTGGCTAGCATGATGCTGCAAGAAGCTATTGAAGGTTTCAACGATAGGAGTGGAATCACGGCAGGTGGATACTAACCCAGCTGCTCAGAGAGTGTTTGCAGTTTTGATTGGAGCTGTAGGAAGTGTAAGTATACTCGGTAAGGTGTGAGTTTGAATATACTGTTAAGGTCATACTCAAGGGCTAACTGGATCCAAAGGGCTTTGGCCTCAGCTCATGCACTGTGCCCCTTACTCAAGTATTGCCCCTTATTTCAGGAAGGCAAGACTAACATGTCCAGAGGGTTGGATGGGTAGCATAGCAGATCTGGATGACTTCCGGATATGGGATAAGTATTGTAAGGCTAATCCAGACAAGTCCAGACTAGAAACTAGTGGTAGTGACTGTCGTAGACAGAGGCAGATGCAGATAGACTATAGGAATCAATCCTAAGTCTTGGAGGGTGACAAGAGTAGAGATACTCAGGTCCAGAGGACAGGAATGAGCAGAACTAAGTTGATATTTGAACTGAGGTGCTACAGAGAGTTACAGGAGGTTATATACTATAGGTATCTAATGGAATGATCAATCAGCAGAGTCCGAGGCTATGTACGAAGCATATGGATAGTCTATTGGTAAGTAGAAATGGATCACAAATCATGAAATGGAAATGAAGCATAGGTAATGGATCAGGGAGCAGGACGGATATACAGATAGCCGAAATACCAGAGTTAGGGGATTACTGAAAGGAGATGAGCACTGGTTGTGGATTCAGATGAATTGTGGACTGGACCGGATGAGTGGACAGATTGGATGACAAGATGTTGGAGGGAGATAAGATGTGGATAGGATTGGAGATAAGATGTGGATCAGATCTGAGATGAGATAAGGATCAGATCTGAGATCCAGATATGCGGATATGACAGTGGTGCTTGCTCTATGATTCCTGCCTTCAACATCTCCTCTACTTGTTCATTATAAAACCTTGACTGTTCTAGAGTCAACAGTCTTTGATGTGTGCATAGGTTGAATGTCTTGCCCTCTGGTATGTTGAGATTTAGCTGTGCTCCTGGTATTATGTTGACTTCTTGTAATGATAGTGCAAACAAATCCACATTATCCTTGATGAATTGTTCCAGTTCCTGTCATTTGGCATCTGCAAGATCATTACTGATTGTGACTTATTGAACAATTTCTGCTACTCTCTCTGGTTTGAATGGGTTCCTTTGCCTTGTGTATATTGAGGGATCCTGATCTGTTAGTGGTAATTCTGGTAGTTCTCCTAGTAACTGTCCTGCCACATTTGAGGCCTCATGTGTGGTGATAACCCCCACATTACTCTGCCTTGTCATTTCTTTCTCTCCCATGGTATGTTCCATGTTCTTTGTTAACTGTTCTACCTTACCTTGTGCTTGTTTACCATTCTCCACTCTTCACCACAGTTGCTTCACCTGTTTCCTATCTTGATGCTGTTATTGGTGTCCCGTCAGTCTCCATTGCCCCATTGGAACATAAGGCAAGTGTGATGTTTGTGTATGTTCCACTGTGCAAACACAACAATGGCTAGACACTTGTTAATGTGCCTAACCAAAAATATTGTTGTAGGTCAATGCTCTGCCTAGCTGTTACACTTGCAAGCAAGAACGTTCAACCCTAAAGGGAATTGCTACTGAGAATGGCTGATGATACTAAAGACCCAAAAGTGCGCAGAGCGCAGGAACAAGTGCACGGGTATGTAGAGTGCAGGAATGTGGAAGTGCGGTCGATGAGCGGTCGATGAGCGGTCGATGTGGAAGTGCAAGATGCTAGGGTAGGGAAGTCTTAAGGAATGGCATGGGTAACAAGTGAGGGCAAGGGTATTGATTGCATGGGTAAAGAAAGTCAAGGTAAGGTGTCCAGGTATAAGGTAACCAATAGGGGCTAAAAAGCGCGCACTAATGGTGACTGCTCCTAAGTAAAACCTAAGGGAAGGAAATACTGCAGAAGGGAAGTAAATACGAAGTAGTCACTCTATGCACTTTATACTAGCTAAACCCTCTCGGAAATGGAAGGGACAGGACAGACAGGCAGTAGGAATATGTAAAGACATGTAATAAGGCTGCAACACTTGTTACAACACATGAGGCAAGGCAAAATATGTACCAATGAGGTAGGATGGACAATGGACTGATGCGGGACATCTGTAAGGTAGTCCGAAGGCGTGGGAAATCGACCGCAGTTATGTGCGCAGCACGGGAGTGAATGTGTGGGTCTGCAGAGCGCAGGAATACACGTCCGGAGTGGGTTGAGTGCAGGAAAAGCAGTCGATGGTTTTGTAGCTTTCCATCACCTATATCAAAAGATGGCCATTGCAAGCCTAGCAGGAATACAATCATCACACTGCTTTGTCATTAGTCTCATGTGTTCCACTCTCACTAGGATTTGCCTCAAGGGGGGTATTTTCAAGCCCCCCACTGTGTTCTCCCACTGTTTATTGTCTAGGGTCAAACTCTCCTCCTTGTTTGATGTGTTCATGATTTGATTGTTTAGTGTGACTTCCTTGTGCTGATCCTTGATACTAATAGTGTCCATTTTGTATTCATGTCTTGCTTTGAATTCCTGTAACATTGGCTTTCCAACAAGGAATTCCCATCCTCCACCACTATCAAACACCTCAAATTCTCCCTTCACCCACACACCTTTGATCTCTATCATTCCTGCCCATTTTGCCAATGAACTGACTATATTCCCATTCACCATTCATAGCTGCTGTTTTGACTGGTTCCAGTTGTGCAAGTGATGTTTAACTTTGTTAAATACTAATATGCACATTGCTCCAACCATTGCCCCATCATTGAATGATGCTCTAACCCTAACAATTTCCCCTTTTGGACCTTCTAGTGCAACCTGATGCACAAATGGGACCACTTCCTTTGTGTCCACTTGTTGTCTAGTTGCTTTGATGTGTCCCACTGTATACAAATCAATGATCTGAATTGTTTCAGTTGATGTGAGTACAGATGTGGCTGACACATTATCTATAAGTTTGTCAATTGGGTTGGGGCATGATATGACAGATTTGTCCTTGTGCAGTGCCTCTCCCCACTTGAGGACCTTCTCTCTAGCTCAGATATTCCTAAAATGCTGGGTCAACATGATATCCTCTTTTACACCGACCCATTCTCTTTTCCCTTGCTACCTTCTGGAATTTCCTCAATCCAAGCCAATACTGTCTGCTGTGCATGCCCGAATACTAGAGATATCAGTGTGGCTGCCATATGGTTGAATGACCCAAGAACCTTGCTTACTATTGCTCTCCATGCCGCCTCTTTGCATGTTAGTCTCTCCTGGTGGTCCTGTGGTACTGGACAATTTCTTCCATTATGCCTATGCATACCACATGCAAAGCATTCATTGGAGGCAATTGCCACTGTGCCCAGTTTGAGTGGATACCCTGTCTCATGCATGACCCTCATACTCCCCCCACTTTGCATTCCATTGAGCTATTTGTGTGGCATATGCTGTATGCCCCACTGCTGTATCTTGATGGTGTGTGTATAATGTTACAAGTTGCCTGACCATTGTTTTCAAGTCTTCCATTACTACAATTGGTTGTGAGGCTGTAGTTGGTTGATGAGTGAAAGTAGACTGTGGATACACCATAGTTGCCTGCATCAGTACACATGTGACAGTGTTATTGCTGCAAGGTGCCTTAGATGGTGCTATATTCTTAATGGACATTTGTGAGAGTTGATTCTGGAGTGCTGTGATAGGGTTTTGTGTTGCACCATTGCTGTAAGTGGGCTACATCTGCATGCAATAAGCTAACTTCAAGTTCCTGTTTCGCCTGCTGTTCTTTCTTCTCCTTGAGCCACATTCCTTTCAGCTCTGTAAGCTCCTTCATGAATTCCATCCAATTCATATACTCCATATCCTTCAACAGATCTTTTATGACACTCAGGAACTTTCCTCTAACCTGCCAGATCATCAACATACTCAATGCAATTCCTGCACTTGTTGCAAGCTGCAATACCTTTGTGGCCCAGGCAACATGTGTCCAGCATTCCTGATTGTATAGCATAATCCTTGTCCCAACCTCCTTGTCTGTCAACAAAAACTCTAGCAGTTCCTTTTCATACTCTGCTTTGGTTTTTTCCATAATTACGATTGGTGGCCAGCATTTTTCAAACTCTGTGATGAACACTGGCCATGTGGCTTTACTCATTGATTGAAGAGCTTTAAACCATATTTTGGCCTGAGAACCCATACCCAGGTAATCTCCAAATGCATCTAGCTTATCCATGCTCACAGTGATGGACTGTTGTCTCATTGCATGATTAAACAACTTTAGGAAATCCACTGGGTTTTCTGATGTACAACCATTGCCATGAAAGATCTGTGGTGTTTCCATAGGCATTTCAGCTCTAGTTTGTGTAATCACAAAAAACTTGTCCAAGTCATAGTCTGGTTCTTCAAAGGTAGGTTTTATCAGCTCTGTTTTTGTATAGCACAGTAACCATTGTAGATCAAATTGGGGTACTTGGAGGTCTAATTCTGGGACATCAAATTGCTCTTCATCTTTGAGGCTACTAAGGGGCAAACTGTCCAAATGATATGATGTATTATGCAAGGACAATTCTGGGGTGTCTAGCAGGGAGGAAGCAGTGGACATATCCATCTCCCAATTTGACCAGTTGATTTTTAAATGGGTATTAGTCACTGCTTGTCCTGTAGGCACTCTGGGTCTCAAGCTGCTGGGCATCAGTTTCCAATGAGAATCCACATAAATTATAATTCAGGTACAGTCCTTTTGTGGTTTCCACAGGTGTCTTATTGACACCTGCTGTCTAGCTTAGCCCTTCCGGACTTGATGCGACATAAAAGCACTGTATTCCCTGCCACAGGTTCATGTAACTATACACATTGTGTTCTGTGTTCCAAATTTGCTTCCAAGTTGCATCCACACAATTTGGACAGCCAATGCTGCAACTGAGACTAAATTCTTTAAGCTAGTGCGAAAAAACGATGTTGAGCTAGTCTGAATGTGCTCTGTTCACCATGATGAGATAGGACAATGTGGCTCTATGCTATGTGCTGTCTGAGTGAGTGTGGTGCTGCTCTACTCTGCGAACTTGTCTGCCTTGTCTGACTAAGCTTCGGAAACAGCCGTGGGACCCTTCTCCTCGTCTCTGCTACCCATGAGACCCCTAGTCTAACGCTGTTCATGAAAAAGGGACAAATGGATGAACAGAAGTGTGGTTATGATCATAATTAGTACAACCTGTCTGAGACTCAGATCAAGCACGACTTGCGCTTGATAGGAGATAAACACATATTACACGAGAAAAGCGACCATTGGTACTCGAGATCATTACCACAAGCTTGGGCACGAGCACGAGGGTCGGGCCCTGCATGAGAAAATTGCTATGATAGTACGCACAATCACACTATGGTGTTACATTACCAGTACATTATCGTTTTCACGAGCGTCCTTGGTCGCCAATGATCAATGTATGAAAATTCGGAAATACAAGTTCCTCCTCCACCGTATTCCGTATGACATCCTGAATGAACCTCTCGACCCGTGTCACATTCTTAAGAACATGTTTGTCCGCCTGGCCGATCTCGCTCTCGATCAATATAGACGGGAGGAGGCGCTGACCGATTGGCAAAGGTTTTCCGTCACGTTTTCCGCTGTCCTCATCCATTTCAGGAGGGGTGCTGGTTTGGCTTCGTGGGCGTTTACACGCGGGGCCGTAGGGATCCAATTCATCGAGTATGCACAAGTGCACTCGGCCACGTGAACCCTCGTACGCGACAGCTACCTCTCCCGTGAACACCAACCCTGTCACTGAGAGCTTGATCGGAAGGGACATGAACGACGGGGAAGGATAATTGATCAATAAGGATGTTGTGAGCGTTAGCCGGAGATTTGAGTGCCAATTAAGGTAGAGATGGAGCTGAAGATCTGGATTATCGGACGGAGGAGTTGGAGCTGGCTCTGGTTCCGGGCGTGAAGACGGAGGATTTGGCGGAGAAGGAGAGGACTTATCTGGCGTCGTAGACGCGCGTGGCATCGAATCATATACTGAGCTAGGATCGAACGATGGGATTGACATGCTGCTTGGTGTCGGCCTGAATTCACCTAAGCTGGGCATGCTCACATGCATAGCGCCTCCACCCCACACATCTCTCGGCGAACCGGCATGCAACGCTGGGGTAGACGTAAACAAATCCACAGAAGGACTGTGCCCGTATCGGATATGCGGCGGCAGATGATGATATGCCAAACCTTCCTCCGCGATCCCTCGGCGTGCCCCCTTCCTCGACACCCACTCGAATCCATCATCATCCCCTGCGCCTTCCGTCACTTTCACATTCTCATTATCTGGCTCAGAATTAGAGTCAGAATCAGAGTCTTCGAGAAAATCGCGGTATATATCACGAAGGTCGACGAGCTCCACATCCGGAGGGACAGTACCAAAGTCGAGCGAGGAGATTTCGACAGGACCGATAAAGGATGGCCTTTGAGTCGTTGTTAATTGTCTGTTGAGGATGTCAACGAGGGTGGTCGCTAGTGATGAGTTCAGCTTTTGCCATTCCAGTTCGATGGACATGGATAACAAGCGTCGGCATATTCCGATACTCCTCAATTATAGCAATACCACATGAATAACGGACGGGGAGAGGCAGAAGTCCTTGCGACTGTCAGTGACCGCTCTTACTCTCCTCATGATTGGGCTTACCCCAACCATAGTTCAACGATGGCTACCAATATTCCAAAACCAAGCTCGAAGAGAGCTTGCGGCAAGTCATGGCGCTCAAACCCACCAAGTCCTCCAAGGATGCTACTGTCGTGAAACGAGAGGACGTCGAACTCATTGTGCGTGTTGCAATCTCCATCTGGTGCATAGCTCATCCACTCTTACAGGTAAATGAATTAGGCATTCCTAGGTCGCACGCCGAAAAGGCGCTCTTGGAAAGCGGGGGCGAACTCGAAAAGGCCCTTCGTGCGCTCGTTGCGAGCTGATGGGAGTATCAAAGGAAAGCTTGCCACTCCTTTTCGCTCAGTATCACTACTCTGCTCGTCTATGCAATCGATACCTCAGAAAGGAAAGACAACAGGCAGATAGAAACGACGGATTTTCAATCTCACTTACAGCTGACAGAGGAACCAGATCACATCAGCAAATGTCAATACTCTACGAAAGGAAAAATCAAAAATCATCATTGGCAGATCTCGAAGCTGTTCGGTTCTTGGTCGTTTTGTTGGTCGCTCGATTTCTCGTAAAACGTCGTATACAACTGTTGGAGACATTTGTGCACTGCAGCGATTGCTGTCAAATTATCGATTAACTTGGCGACCCACGCAATGAAGGTCCAACACAATATTGGTGCAGAACATATAGATAACCCAACACTTAGCCGCGGTACAGCTATGTTGAGGGACGTGATACAGGACAAACAACCGTATCAGACTGCTGGAACTTAGAATCAAGATGTTACGAAAACTGGGAAAATATTGAGATACTGACTCAAATGACAGCTATTTGGCAACTCTTCGTCTGCCGGGGTGATTGTGTACTCTCCGATGGATTCATCAAATTCGATTGAGGTTCTAGGTCGTTCTGTGCAATGGCGTATAAATCTTGTCTTGAATCCAGATCACAAGGATGTCGGTGGCACCGAGCAAAATCTCATTCTCTTGACAGTCCGAGGTGATGTAGATGCTAAGGATTGGTTTCCACTCAGTCTTGACTTTCTTGCTGCCACATCTCCTTTGTTTACTGTGAGTTTCCCGTAGGGGAGATGAAGGGAAGACGACATATCAAGCGTACCCGAGGAAGAGTGCTGCAACAAGCGCGAATTCGTCTACCGGGTCCAAAAAGCCTGGCAGTTGGACCACGCACAGATGTGCTAAAACAAGGAGAAAATGGTAGTCACAAATCAATGGTAAGGTCCTGAACGGACCGGTCTTGTTCACGACCTGCAGGAAACCACCGGTTCCCATCTCAGGGGTCTAGGCAAGTCGCCCGTGAGCTGTCGAGATAAAGGCACAACGAAAGCAAAACTTGTAAAGAAACAGAGGTCATTGGAAAACTTCCCAGTCGGTGTGGGTCGGTCATGGCTCATGTCTGTGTTGTGAATCGCGAAGTAGATGGGAGTCTTTAACCTGCAGCTTCACGTAAGTTGAAGCACTAATGAGGTTCCCATCCGCAGCTTGTGCTTTGGACGAAGCGAGTCCATATGTTAAATGAGCGACGATCGTGATCATAGTTTCCTTCCAAACTACGGGGTAGCATGTGTCATAGAGGCCATCCTTTTCGTAGTCGAAAGTGAGCATGAACGTCATTCTCTTGCAGAGATCGTTGCTGCAAGACAGTCGGGTATAAAAATAAATGAGTACAGCCCAACAGCCCAAAGATAAACACGCACGAACGTCATTGCTATTAAAAGGCCTTGAGTTCGGCACTCAGAGGCTCGGCAAAGGGGCCCATAAATGCCTCAAAGGCCGTTTCTGCATCCTTGGCCTGTAACATAAAAAGACACATTCTCCTTGGATCTCCTCTGAGACCGTAGGGGACACATTTACTGCAGTGCCGAACATTACGGACTTCCCATACAGGAATGTGGCAGTTGTTTGACAGTTCCGTGTGTGTTGAAGGCTCTGTGCTCGTCAGAAGTCGCGGGATCACCGTATAGGCCAAAACGCCACCGGAAGGGGCCTGATTTCACTTTTTAAACCCGAAATGTCACGTTGAAAGTTCGTACCTCTGACATGAAGCCCACAACTGCACTTAAGTTGATATTGAAAGATAGTTGTCTGATGTGCCGATGTTAAGTTGGAAGACACCAAGGGAAGTTACGCTGAGCATGCTGTAGTAACAGACATCGATCAGACATCATGCACATGCCGGAGTTTCATACGCACCTTGAGACCGCCAGGTTGGATGATATTGATTGGTGAACTGTCAAGACTCCACATGTCTATGTTCACGAAATACCACAGATCGGGAGTCTAATCATGATCTATGAGATCGCACGCTGTGAAGGTCCGAGGGACAAATTCGAAATTTAGGCCCTTCGTGCGCTGAGTCGCCATGAACTGATGTTTGACCAATGAAAGCCTGAGTTCACCCACGGCGAGGGAGAGGGAGCGGGGCCCGGGAAGCAGTTGTTGGCTGTGCCACTGGAGGCAGATAGGTTCTTGTTGAGCTGCACTACTCATCATCTAAGCAATCGACACCTCAGCAAGCCAGAACAGCGGATGTAAAAGATGTAAATTCAGCCCCAATTACAGCTAACAGAACATGTCAGCAAAAGTCAATACTCTACTAAAAAAAGTTCAAAGTTCATCATCAGCAGTCCTCGTGCGTAAAGGTAGCAAAAAAGGTAGGAATGCAATCTGAAATGAACGGCACTAAGAGCTTCAGAATAGCAAAAACGCACGAAGCACTCTGGAACGGCACGACCGGAAAAGACTGCGGAGAATGAGCGGAACGAATCGTAACGTGATTTGGCTGTGAAAAAGAGAGAAGATTTGATAAGATAACCATGAAATAGATTCAGATTCGCCTGTTTGTAAGATCGTGGTGCAATGACGCGATGCAGTATCTGTGGTAAAAAGGGCTTGTTTGCAAAGATCTAGGAAACGGGTATATTCAGAAAAAATCATCGTAAGACGTCGTATAATAGTTGAAAGTTCTGATATGTTCTTTTTTTTGTCCTGGTGTGCTAATTACAGCCGCTCTTCGGGCCTGGGTGTGGGCGTACGTGAGGGAAAGGGAGAACCGTATGGTGCATTGAGGTATCGCGAGGTGGATTCCATGTCGGAGAAGTAGTCGCTCTCGACCATGCTCGAGGGCTTTTCTGCAAGGCCCAGAGCACTAGCGATAGCTCGGGGGCTTCCAAACGGTGACGACCTCTTCTGTGATGGGAACTGGCCTATTATGGGATCATCAGGGCCTAAAGGGGCATCTGAAAATGGCTTTGAGCCGCCACTAATTGCGGACGCTATCTTGGTCTCAGGCGACGCGGGCTGATTGTACATGGCAGTCGCTGCAAGCACCGTAGAAGCTCCGATGATGAAGGAAGGGGTAATGTGAAAGTCGAAGAGCACGACGGAGGCGAGGAAAGAGAGAATGATAGATAGTGACGTCGCGAATCCCTTCAAGATATTGTCTGAATACTTGATCACGACAGCAGTCACCAAACCACCAAAGACTTGTACTGCCACCGTGGCCCATGCCCATCCACCGAAGTTCCGGAAGAGGTAACTCAAGAAGCTCATGGAAGGCGGTTGCGCAGGGCCGTAGAGGATGGGGAGGAAGGCAGGGAGGAGGGAGAAGAGCGAGAGTTGGACATTGCGCACCCACAGGTCTGCCTTGGAGTTCTTGAGCACCATCTCAAAGTAGACACCTGCGAGACCGGATGTAAAGCAGGCAGCGGTGACCGCACCAAAGCCCTTCAGTGGGCTCATAATATGGATGTGGAGAGGCGCCGCATCATGCGCGCTCCCCACGCGAATCTCCCGCATCCCGCTATTCGATGCAGTCGTCTGCACCTGGACAATACCAACGCCAATCGCCAAGAAAAACAACGACAACCATTTCGTCGAAGATAGCGTTTTCCGGAGGAGAATGACTGAGAACGCCGCAGTGGTTAGGATCTTCATCTGATATGCCACCTGAAAGGACGCCACGGGCAGATTACTGATAGCAACGAACTGCAACGAGTTCTGCACGACGTAAAGGACAGCTGGTATGGACAACTTCCAACAATCAGGGCTGAAAATCTCACTGCATACTTGGCGGAAAGGCGCAGACCATGGAAAGAGTAATTGCACGAGGCCGGTGAATGAATTCCGGGATGACCAATGAGATTCTGATATGTCCCGTGCTCTCCATAGTGCAATGACGAAGGATATGGAACCTTTCAGTATTTCGCATAGTAATACTGCTGCTGCAGGAGAATACGACAGGTGCGGAGGTGTCGATACGCGGGAGTAGTACATCACAATTGACAAGGTTGCATTTTGAACGGCGAGGGTGATGAGCCTGATACATGGGAAAGTTAGCCATCTGCAGACCAAATACTTGATTAAACTCACGATACGTATTTCAGAGGCATTCCGCAGATTGTTGGATGTTTCGGAGCTGTTTCTGGTAGAGCTGCGTTCAGATGCTGGTTGAGAAGTAATCCAGTTGATTTAGGTGAGAGACCGTGAAGCCCTGAGGGGGGAAGCAATGGGGCTAGGCGTGGGCTGGTGTTTGTGGTGCCGAGGATGTTGGAAGATGAAGGAACGGAACGGATGGAAGGGTATGCACGATGATACATTTCATGTGAAGATGAAGGCACTGCGGACCAAGGTTTAGTAAAGAATCCAAAGATGCTACGGATGACTTCACTGACTACTCGTGCGTGTTCCGTTTTTTCAACGAACGCGATTGGCTGGTTGGTTCGGATATCGTTCAGTGTGCTTCCTTCCACGTATAATTCAACGGAGACCGACAAGAAATATGATAAAAGGCCGTGGCTTGCTGTCGTGAAAGAGATGAGAAATGATTGGAAACGCAACACCGTCCAGAAAAAGCACCTCGTTTGAATCCGATTCGACCGTGGCAGTTAAACAGTCAAAGTCTGTGACTACTGAATTAGAACTAAGTCGCCAAGAGAGCAACGGCGTAGTCTTCAACAAAGTCGGTGCTGCTCAGCACTGCAGTGTAGGAAAAACTTTGAGGGTGATGGAGCACACACAAAAAAGGTGTATCCATAAAAATCACGACATTCACCAACCTCGGCTATAAGTCACTTGATCAACAAAATGATTCTGTGATCAACTTCGCATTATGTGAACTCTTCTGCTAGGCTATGCAGCAACATTTCGACATGATGAATAATGATGGATTTACAAAGTAGAACATAACATGAAATGATAGTAGTAGTACAACACTCCCGTGTAACATCATCCTGATAAGATGACGCTGAGAATATGAATGTAACCTACCATTTCGGTTCCGCCTACATATCCACGCTGGGCAATATTGTTTCGTCTGTGAAACCATCATCAGCCCATCATCACAGCTCATGATCGAGTCGCAGGATGAGCACCAATGCGATACCTCAGCCTCGCCTTTATTTCTCCATCCACACCCATCTGTCTTGTGTGGCTCTTTGACAAAAACCGCATCAGACACCCTCGCACTTCAAGGGACCCTTTCGAACGGGTTGTGTGTTTTTACCAGGATGATCTTCTTCGGCATGCATCGGTGCCCATCACAGCTCAAACGATAAGGATATACACGACTTACAATATTATAATTGCACGGTATCCATCTACAAACAGTAGAAACATTAGTATGAAGAGAGTTGTAGGCATCTCCAGGTGATCCTGCGTCCTCATCCCTCGACCAGTGGGAGGAACATTCAGCAAAGATTGTTTTTGAGACAACAGTTTAATCCTTGACGTTTGTCTGGACTATCCATCCTTGGAAGTTGCGTGAAGCAGAGGATAAATAGTAATTTGGACGTCGTGGTTTTTGTTGAGAAAATGTTGGTAGACAAGGAAGGTTTTGATCATCCCGGCAAATGCCGAGCGGGCATACAAAGCTTGACTGTCCAAATTTGGCAAGGTATCGGGCATTGTAGAAAATCGGACTTGTTGCTTGACCCGACTGACGAGGACGTCGACGGCTCAGGCATGGCTTCCGCTGTACAGTCTCCTTTCGCCACTCTTCTCAAACGGTCAAAATTCTCCTCATTCGACCCCCGCATTGCCCAAGTCTATACCACACACGGTGGTGACGCTCACCGCGGCAACTGGGGCTTCAAACGTCCGCTCCCAATACGCAGACGTGGAGCCTACATTACAGTAAAGGCTGTCGACTCTCTTGAACAGCAGACAGAATGGAACTCTGCAGAGCCTCAGGCAATGTGGATGAAGAACTGGGATGAATTACAAGTGAACCCCACGTCAGAAGAATCACGTCGGGCACCGAGCGAGGCTTCTGGTGATATGCTAGACTCGGAGTATGCGCCAACGCAGACGGACCCAAAATGTTGGCGCTCATCTGCTGTCCCCAATATTCATGCCATGTCCAACTTGGAATTCAAGAAATGTGTTGCGCATATCCGTCGCAAACGCGAGCACTTCTTTGAATACCAGGAGATGAAGGCGGAAGCACTAAAGAAGCAAAAGGAGATGAAAGGGATGGAAGAGGAGGCTTCAAAAGAGATGAGAACGGACTCGTCCAAGGAATCATTCACATCCAAGGGATCGTTCAAGGGGAAAAAAGCCCCTCCCGAAAAACTTCGGACGGATTATTCCCTTAATGACTTCGCTAAGTGGGAGTCTGAAGGGATACGAGAGCATCCTCGCTCACGTTCACTCGAAAGCGTGCCGCATCGCTCTGCAGGTCTCCATTACTCTCATTTCTCAGCACTTCAAACATATCTCTCTACGAAGGAACACAAAGGACGACTGGTTGAAGAGGTGAGGGGCGAGAGAGGTAAAGCGCTATATTACGTGGCATCATATGCTGGTATGGGCACCCTCGTGCAACAGAAGAACAAAGGAGTGGGCAACGTGATGACGTGGGGCGACGCGAGCAAAACTGGAGTGACAAAACTCAGGCCCGAATCTGTATTGTTGGAGAAGGCGCCAGAGGTGGTGTACAAGAGGCAAGGCTTGAAAGCGGCGAAGCTCTCGATGACAGCGTTTGCAAATGACACGCAGAGTCACTCCCAGAGCAACACTCATAGGCCCGGCTCACTGGAGTACATTACGGCTGAACCTTTGAGCTCTTTCGCCAATCACACCCCACACCCTAAGCGCTCAGCGAGGTTCGATAATCTCGTGCGCAAATCGACGCAACCACTACCACGCGCTCCTAGTGAGACGACATTGGACTTTTTGCAGGGGATCCTAAGAAAGCAGAATCCTGGTACGAACGGGAAAGGAGATCTAGAGGAGGAGAAATCATAGTAATTTTTAATCACATTTACACCCTTTGAATCGACCCACATGTAGCCTCCTGTGGCTCGCCTGACACAAAGTAACACAAACGCGTGACGTGCGCGTGACATTCCGTGACCCATTAACCGCGACAAGCGTGTCTTGTTTAAATTTCCCACGGCACTTACTCCTCCAGAGGTGTTCGCCAACGATGCCACGCGAATCTACAGACCGCAGAAAATCAAGCATAGGCAGTCGCCGCGGCCCCCCAAAGAAACATATTCCATTCCGCGCGGACAATCTTGGCCTCGGAAAGAAAACCGGAATCGCAGTCCGATACGTCGTCCGTGACTCTGATGAATTTGAGCCATTCGATGAGGTCATCAAGCAAGCTGACGATCGCACACCGCCCCGCGTAAAGTCACGCAAGAAGAAGGCTTCAGCCGTCACTCCCGTCCCAGAAGTCGACGAATATGACGAGGATGGGGAGATGTCCATGGAATTGGCGGAAAGTGAGTGACATTGACCGCGAGTAGGATCCGACGTGTTTAGTCTCGTGGCTTCACACAGGCAACCAGGGCAGTCCACTGGCTTACTTTACTAAAGCGCCTCCCATGATGGCGCCTAACAGTGCGCGCAAACCAGTCTCGTCGCGATCCGTCCCGCGAACATCTGAGATCGACTTTGATGAAGTGCCTTCGCCCCGTATGCGAGCCGCACCGTCTAGGCGTGAATCTACTGTGAATGGTGCAGGCCCTTCAGTACTCTCCAAGTCGTTCTCCGTATACAACGACACCCATGAGCATAACCCTGCTCCGGACCCCGAGTTCGAGCCAGCAAATCAAGACTTCGACTATGATCCCCCACCGAACGACAGCCCCCCGCCAACGGGAACAAGCTTTAATGATATGAACCAGGACGACGAGGACGATGAGGATGATGCTGCAGAAGTTGAAAAGGAGATGATATCACAGGCGAAGAAGGTTGTCAAGGGCAAGGGCAAGCTGCGTGCAGATGTAGAGGTGGAGGACCAGGAGGAAAATGGGATCGATGAGGATATTGCTCAGGGACTCAAAGAAGTTGAGAATGCGCCAGATGAGGAAGATGAAGAAGACCCGCCCCCTAAGAAGCCGCGCAAAGAAAAACCGAAAGAGCAGAAATCCAAAAAACCCAAAGCAGCGCGCGCACCCAAGCGAGTCATCGAACCATTTGAAGAAAGTAAGCCATCTGTCTTACACCATGAACAAGAAATTCATCCACCTCAGATTCTCCACTACCCGAGGGGGTACGTCGCAGTCGACGGCATCGGTACAAACCGCTCGAATACTGGCGCCAAGAGAAAGTCGTTTATGGTGGTGACACTTCTGGCCTAATTCTCGTTCCTCAAATCAAAGAAATCATCCGCATCCCGCAAGAACCTCCTAAACCACTCGGAAAAGCAGGAAAGAAGCGCAAGCGCACAGGCAGTGAACGTGCGAAGAGTATGCCCGAGCCATTTGATCCCGAGGAAGGCTGGGACGACGAAACACAGGAATCCGGCGTGGTCATCGACTATGCCACCGAGGAGCCGGTGTTAAGACGTGCGTAGCTTCTCCCATCAGCACTTCACAATCTTATGTTGACTGGCGTTGTTTCAGGCATCGTCTACACAGCAAAGAAGATCGATCCCAAACCTGCGGCTGGCGGCGGGTGGTTCTTTCAAAAGATCTTCGGGGAGGGAGACTTTATTGCAGCAGGCGTCCTTCGCATACCCCCGCAGGGCCGCAAACCAAGTAAAGGGACGAAAGACAATACTTATGTTCGCATTCGCCACTACGCTGGGCACTTCGATCTATTTACCCCATTTTTATGCAGGTTTTCTATGTCATTGAAGGCGCCGTAGCTGCCGTGATTCACGAATCACAATACATCGTAGCTACAGGGGGCATGTTCATTGTGCCGCGTGGTCAGTTCCATTCTTCATGCCCTGTCCGCTGATCTCGTAAATAATCCAAACCACATCCGCATTCAGGCAACACCTACTACATCGAAAACATCTCCGATCGAGATGCAAAAGTTTTCTTCACGCAAGCCCGTCAGGTATCATTAGACGAAGACCAACAGCTAGATCACGTATCACACTCTGCGCCTCCGTCATCGCACCCCCAGCGGTTGAGTGAGGGAGCTACTTCGCTGGCTAAGAGGGGGACGTCGATGAAGATGTGAACGGTTTTAGTATGACATTTGTGAATTTAATAGCGCATTCTTTGTATTGCAGTTTTTTTTTTATCATCATCGGTTCACTGTAGCTTACCATGATTAAGTGTCGTTTCTGTCGACGAAATGAATGGGACGATTATGACATTGACTTAGCGTACTTATATCCGTCAGCACTCGATGTAATACCTATACCCTTGTACTCCATCCCAATTATGTGAGGTCACTCAAACTCGGTCAGGGTCTCTGACATGACAAGATGAGCTGCAACTTGAATTAGTCTTCAATTCAAGTCGCCACTCATCCTATTGCGAGCGGGATTAAGATAGTTGTTTTGACGATCGAAGGTGACCGCCAAACAAATATGATCAATCGACTCAACATGGTACAACAGTGATTACACGGGATGAAAGGTTATACAAGACAAGCAACTGTGTCTCTGAGTGAGGGGGCGGCGAAAACAGGGAGAACAATGATGCACCAACCTCAGACAACAGTTACCATGCACACCAATTTGGCATTCCTTCATTTGGTCTTCGCGAGCATGCAACGTCCAGTCATTACGTCCCGTTCGAGGTTGAAGGTCGTATTCCGAAAAAGCCGGTGGAGATCCTGCTCCCAAATGGCAGTGCTATCGATAGCATCAACCAAGACCTCGGTCGCTTGATAGTCTGATTCGAGGTAGACGCGCAGGACTGGTTTCCACTGAGCAGTGGCAATACTGCCGTCTCTGTGGTATGAAGTGTGAATTTCCCGGAGGGGAAATGAAGGGGAATCGACATACTCGACTTCCTTGAAGAAGAGCGCCGGATCAGGCTTAGACGAGACAAGGTGTGGAGTTGGGGTAAAAAACCCTGGTAGTTCCAGTGAGGTGAGAAAAAGAGAGAGAGAAATGGTGTCACAAACCGACTGCAAGGTCCTGGACAAGCCCAGTCTTGTTCTCTGCCGTCAGGTAGCCATTGGTACCATCCACAGGTGGCTACGCAGGTCGTTAATGAGCTGTAAAGGTAGATGAAGGTCATTCATACGGAGAAACTCAAGGTATCATTAATGTCATCTTCTAGGGTCAGCGTGGTTTGTTGGCCTGGCTGCAAGATGGCTTGTGTTCGTGCTGGGAGCCGCGGAACAGATGAGAGTCTCCTACCTTCAGCTTGAAGTCAGTAAAAGTATTAACGAGGTTCCCATCCATGATGTCTGCTTCAGCAAGAACAAGGCTATACGTCCAGTAAATGGCGTTCGTGAGCATGACGCTGGTCATTGCTCGGACATTGCTTACTCATTCGTGTAGGTCACTTGAAACTTGCGTGAGCCTGGAACGATGGTTCATAATTGAGGTGAGAATTGAGCGGGGGAACCTACCTGTCTCTGGGAAAGTGAAGACTCTGAAATGTTGAAAGATTTGGATTCCTCGAGGGTGAAAGCGGGGGTACTTACCTCCAAACAACGGGGTAGACTGTGTCGTAGAGGCCCTCCACATCTGCATCAAAAGCGAGCAGAATCGTCGTCTCTCGGCCGAGATCGTTGCTGCAAGGTGGTCAGGTAAAAAGATTATGACAGCGCGATAGCGCAAAAACGCTCACGACTGAAATGTTAAGTTCCTGACGATGGACATGGGTTTTAAAGTGATTTCTAGAACACACAATTCAGTTGAGAGTAAGTATGGATTGAAGAGCGTCGAGTCCTGCAGTTAGTAGAGGCCCAGGAAGGAGGTTTTTGTATGCCTCAGACAAGCTGTATATGCTGTACAGCTGTTCTTGGTTTGCGACATGGCAAGCTGTAGCTTGTTGTCTTCTGATCTCTGGAACATTCTTAGCGTGAGATCCAACTGTTGTAGATAAGGAAATCGCGCTCAGCTCTGTGGCAGCGGCGAGCGCTATAATATATATTTGGCTAATGGGGCCAAAGATTGATGCCCTACCAACAAACAGCAACCTCCAGGGTTATTCTCCGCAGTAAAAGGCTGCTTATGTGAGTCTCATCAATTGGAACTTGAGTGAGACAAGAGGAAATAGAGCTAGCCAGGACTTAGCTCTGCGCCACCAGCTGCAACGTTGAAGTTGAGAAGGAATATCTGCGATGACGAGCTAAGAATCATGTGCTCAGATATGCAAACGAACACACTGGGCAACTCAGCACGTCCCGCCACAACCTGGGAAATAACAAAACAAAAGAATGCTGGATGATTCTTGTTGAAGGAGTATTTTAGTCTCTTATATCCCCGCAGTTCTCGCTTCCTTGTTTTGCGACATAGCAAGCTCTACTAGGCGCTTCATCGCGCTTCTGATCTCCGCAGTAGTCTTAACGGAGATCTAACGACCGTGAAGCCCCAAGTGTTATGGACCGTTCTGCTTTGATCTTATCTGGGATTGACACTATAAAGTTTAATGCAAGCACCAGGCGAATAAGGATTTTCGCTAAGAAACTACTCAGCTTTGTTGTCTATACACGATCGGAATTAATATTCGACGAGGTGGAGAGCACAACTTGAAATCCGAATCCCGATGTTCACCAAGTCTCAACAACAGCCTGATTCACATCATTCCGATCTCTTGCGTGCTGCAATCACCTCAAGGAGTATTAAGAGAGTACATGAACGCAGAATGCCCCTCGAGAATGATTGAACGTGTGACACTGTAACTTACACGAATGTGCGACCTTCCCCGTAGTAGTGGTTTCATTGTTCTCCCGAGGAAGACGTGATGGCGACTCTACCGTAACCATATTAATCAGGTGTGGACCAGGTTAATAGGGTATCCTTCTAGTCTATGACAGACTGGATGGAGGCCCAATTAACCTGCTCTCAACTCGGTCTTCCTCAGTCTAGGATCCCTTTCTTGTCATTGATATAGGCAACGAGGACACTCTCGAGCTGGACGATGGTCTGATCAAAATGCCGCTACTGAGTACTGAAGGGTATGTAGGAAACGATCGATGATCAACGAGGGTGCATTGATGGTTGTTGTTCCACAGTATGTTCAGCGTAACTTCTCTTAGCATCATCCATATATATCAGACTGCTACTGCTACTGCTTAACCTTATTGCAGTCATGGGGCTCAGCACACCAATCAAGCGTCATCAAGACATCGGTAATTGGAATACCTCTCCAGAACTTTCTATCAGGAGATGGATGTAGACGTAGTACGCCAGAAGTGTCCAACGTTGACATATGTCGGGTTTCAAACGTGAAATAGGTGGTCCATGTTCCAGTGGTGGTCAGGCGCAAATCTACCGGGACAGATGGAAGGAACGACTGTCTTCCTTCTATCGGTTTGCCTACGGGAGACTAACCGTGATCCAGAAAGCCCGGGACCGCTGACGGGCACAGATTCTTCAGTATGGAACTTGTCACAAAACTTTCGCGCCCTTGATTGGCAAGTGGCGGCGGGGTGGATGTATCCCTGTTTCGGAGAGATTCAAGGAAAGTCTCAAACATTGGAAACAGCCTATACGACTTGAGGCATATAGAGACCTCCTTGCCGCGTCTCTAAATTGCAGAACTCGTTGATCCATTGATTCGCTGCATTCAGTTTGGCCATTGTCGAGTCACGAACTTGAATGCGCAGTCTGGAGGGTCGCAGCATCCCCCGATCGATGGTATTGGATATTGTGGGTGGAGGAGGGAACGGAAGCATCCTGGTTTGGGAAGTCGCAATAGACAAGACGGAGTTCAAGAGAGTACCCGTCTCATTCAAAGGCCGTGGGAAATCTGTTTGGAGCGTCGTATTTGTGCGTGTGGAACTTCGAGGGGGATGGGGAAAATAGTCCTTGGACCACTCAAAGTAGGGAGCCTGCAGGGCATACTCGGTATTGTACTCCCCAGATGGAACAAAACTCGCAGCAGGCACCAATAAACACATGCGGAAATCGGAGAAGAGTTGCTGAAAATAGAACAGCGAGCATGGCAAGTCGCATTCACTCCAGACGTCTTGTTAGTGAAAATCATACTGTGACATCAAATGTTACCATCGGAGACATCATCAAACAGTTCGACGCGGACAACGTTATTCGTCTCACTAGCCATTGCTCCCAATGGCACAAAATTCGCAACCATATCACACGACAAGACAACGCGGTTCTTTGATCAATATGACCACTGGCACATTCGAACCCATCGACGGGCCACTTGAGCACCTTAATACCGTCTTCAGCGTGGTCTTTTCCGAGGACTGCCAGCTCATCACCACTAGCTATAAGGACGGCCTCGTTCGCACATGGACAGTTCCTCTGAGCAAATCAGAGAAGGAGCTTTAACAGGTGAATCCTTCATACTGATCTGTTAGTCCACCGAAAAGATTATCAACATATGCTTTTACCCTGTTATTTTGTACGATCCCTAACTTCAGTACTGTAGAAAATCATCTGGCCTCGCTCAAGACGTGCTCCAATGCCGACTAGTAGGTTCTTCGATGATGTAAGTCCATATAATGCAGTGCATTCAATGTACGTCTCACCACTATGGAGATAGTTTGATCCATATTTTCCACCTGGACGCAACAATCACGCTACTACCACCATGCGCCATGCTGAAGGGTCCGGAATCAAGAATACGACAGCTCATATATCTTCTCACTCTTCCTCTCCTAAGGACCATGCCCCTCGCCCACGCAGGATTTCTCTTGTGGACATCTTCGCAATACGAGGCAAATATGTAAGTTTTCTAATCTTTCGACATCCATCTCGTGATGTTGATATTGTCTCGCAGCGCACCGCTAATGCCCACAGTGAGAAAAGGCACAAGTTGGCGCAGCCACAACGTCCTCCTCGCCAGCAAGCCCACTCTGGTGCCTCAAGCAGCAGTACGCCACCAACGGGGACATCCGATGCGATCGGCGGAGTCACCCCAGCAACGTTGCAAACTGGAAGTACCAGTGCTTCTGCTGCAACTAGCAGACCCCCTTCTCCATCAGACGTTGAACATATTCAAGACATCAGCTGCTTTGCAGTTCTCACAAAGTGCTTTCCACGTCTTTCGCGTACAAGTCCTGCTACTCCTCACACCTGCTAAGCAGCCTTTCCCTTCCGAACCTTTTCGTTGGAATAGATCACAACTGTCTCATGTATTAGGAGATACTTATGCAAATCGATGTTACTCCCGATAAACGACTGCAATAGTATTTTGATGCACAGCATTCATGAACGAGCCGTTTATAATGTTAATATCCTTTCATGCCCCCCTACAGGAAATCGAGGACAAACCACAGAAAGGGCAGTCAAGTCAGGGCTCCGACTACGATCCCGCATGCTTCCATCACCTCAGAATATCAAAAGACCGCAGTTTTGGTTGGTGCAATCAACATCCTGGAACCTGGATCTTAACAAATGCACTGGAGTACACAACCACCCCGGTTTAAAAAAGGAAAGCGAGATCGGTGTGCCCAATAACGCTGCATGAGGTCCGTGTTACAGTTCTTACTCTTTTCCTTTCACCTCTTCACTTATTCACCTTATCACATATTCACAGAACATTCCATGACATTCTATCGTACGATTCTCCTTTCTTTTTCTAATTCACTATTTACTTTCTATCTCCGATTCATTTATTAAAGCTCCGCTTTAATACCCTTATATATACTCTATCTCTTACGCTTGTACTCTTTAACTTGACCTATGCAGACCAGGGCCTGCAATATACTGCTTAACTCGCACGACTCGTACATAGGTGTACGCTTTAGACTCTTTGTGACCGTTTAGTCGTTCTTACGAACGCCGAGCGTAACAAAAGGTCAAGTTACTTCTCTACTGCGTGGTTCCCTAGAACTCGCGCCCAGAACCAGACACCATACTACCGATCGCCCCGACACCTCCCGGTTTCACCTGGGACGAAGAAGAACAAGAGTTCTTTCAGATAGACGCCAAAGGCACCAGATACTCAATCGACCAGTGGGCCGCGTACTACGCTAGCATCGCCCCAAAGAACAAAGTTTGGAACTTCCATACCCAAACCTACGAACGATCCCTTTCAGCACCCATGCCTAAAGAAATCGGAAAGACCCCCGCACCCTTCAATGGCGATACCCGCCTTGCCCAGGGATGGACGCTTCAAGTCGAAGCGTACCTAGATATGAATGAAGAAGTATACGATAATGACAAGAAAAAGGTCATCTTTGCACTCAGCCTTATGACCAAAGGCGAGGCAGCCAAATGGGCCGAAGGCCAGCTCAAGGCCGCGGCCACGAGCAAGAATTACGGAACTTGGTTGGATTTTGCTAAGCAATTCAAATCCACCTTTTTTCCTAAGAATGTTGAACAAACGGCGATCCGCCGTATCTCCTCCCTCAGACAAACCGGCAGCGTAGCCGCATATGCATCCCTATTCCGAACCATCCTCGCCGATACCGGTATCTCCGAGGAGAATACGAAGATCATGTTCTTCAGAAACGGGCTAAAGCGTGAGATAGTCTCCGCTATATACGCCTTCGAAACAACCCCCACCACCATCGAGACATGGCTAGAGAAAGCCCTAGATGTCGAGGTACAAAGGACCTTAATAGCACCTCCATCTTACACCAAGGCGAAAGACCCTTACGCCATGGATATAGACAAAGTAGAAGTAGATGACGAAGAAGGTGAGAAGAAGTCAAGAAAGACATATCTTACTCCCCAAGAACGGGAGCGCAGGCGCAAAGGCAGCCTCTGCTTCAAATGTGGTAAGAAGGGCTTAGCCGCAGATTGCCCTAACCACCCTACGGTTATGACCAACACTAGGAAAGTAGTCAAGGAATCATCTGACGACGACTACAAGGAATTCCAAGAGTGGAAGGCGTTTAAAGCACGCCAGATGAAGAAAACCGGTAAGAAACCGGTTAAGAAGGAAGAAAGTAGCGATGAGGAGGATTTTGCTTAGGGGAGCCTGCCACGGTGTCAGAAACTCCCAGAATCGGACTTTTAGTACAATCTGTTGGTGATACTAATTCTATTCGTTTACCCCTTACCATCAGATCTAAGAAGACCGAAAAAACCACCGTAGCCGCCGCTCTAATTGATTGCGGCGCAGAAGGCGAATTTATCGACGAGAAGCTCATACTCAAAGAGAACATTCGCATGCACAAACTTGAAACCCCGATCCCTGTGCGAAACGTAGACGGCACGTTAAACAAAGCCGGAAGAATCACACGGTACTGTGAACTTTCATTTCTTATCAAAGATATCCCTATGAGGAAGCGATTCTTTGTAACCTCTCTAGGAGGAGAAGACACCATCCTGGGAATGACTTGGCTAAAGAAAGAAAACCCAGATATCGATTGGACTAGTCAAGAAGTCCGCCTAAGGGAGCGTACCCTGAAGAAAGCCACGATTGAAGAAATCGAAGAAGAAGACGTCTTTTATGACGCATTGGAAGAATTAGAACCAGAATGGGACCCTGCTAACGAAACACTCCCACATCTTCTAGACCCTATCAACGACGATGACGACTTTTACACCTATATCCGAAAAACTGACAACATCTCACAGACACTCGCCCAGGACGCCGCTAAACCAAAGAAAACTTTTGAAGAACTCGTACCCGAAGAATTTCGACAATACAAAGATGTATTTGGTGACGTAGCTAACGGTACCCTTCCTCCAGAACGTAAGTACGACCACAAGATCGACCTCAAAGAATCGTTCAAACCGCGGAAATGCAAAATTTATCCGCTTAACGCCAAAGAAGACAAGGCCATGAACGACTTTATTGACGAACATCTAGCTAAAGGGACGATTATCCCTTCCGAATCCCCTCAATCTTCTCCATTCTTCTTCGTCGGAAAGAAAGACGGTTCCCTCCGACCCTGCCAGGACTATCGCTACCTGAATGAACACACGGTTAAGAATAACTATCCCTTACCGCTAATCTCAGATCTTATAGATAAGCTGAAAGACGCTAGAATCTTTACCAAGATGGACATCCGATGGGGATATAATAACGTACGTATGAGAAAAACTGATCAATGGAAGGCGGCTTTTGCTACTTCCCGAGGACTTTTTGAACCCACGGTCATGTTCTTCGGAATGTGCAATTCACCTGCTACCTTTCAATCTATGATGAATGACCTGTTCGGAGATATGATACAGGAGGGGTGGATCATCATTTATATGGACGATATACTAATCTTTTCTAGAGACGACGAAACTCACCGCATCCGTACTCACAAAGTACTTCAAAGACTCCGCGATAATCTCCTCCACCTAAAACCCGAAAAATGCACATTCAACGTAACCGAGATCGAATACCTCGGCATGATCATCAAACCCGGTTCTATCGCCATGGATCCTGCGAAATTAAAAGGTATATCCGAATGGAAGACTCCCACGAAAGTAAAGGAAGTCAGATCATTTCTCGGATTCGCTAACTTTTACCGACGGTTTATT